CCTATCGTAGGTCATTGATCCTAGTGTGAGATTAGTTTAACAATATGCCGTTTTTAAAACGTATTTGTTTCAACTGTTTGAGGAAAGAATATCCTATTTTATTTTTTCAGACTGTGTTCAATCCAGTGTGTAATCTGCATGTGTGCGAGCACTGTACTTTACAGTAAATCAAACTAAGCACTAACCCATTTTGTGCTAACCTACAACCCACAAACACCAATTTGTGTTAAAGGCCTGCTAGCTTACACAATGCATACTAGTGCATATGTCAAATTTTCTGCAATAAAACCCCCACCATAATAAATTTCATGCACTACTCCCAAGCCTAAAAGGTGGCCTGCTCCCCAATCCATCAACAGCAGTAGTGCCATGGCTTTTGACAGTTGGAACACCTCAGCCATGAGGCAATGCAACTGCTTCTACCATTAATAGTTAAAACATAATACCTTATTTGCCTCTGGTCCAGCAGCTACTTAACTAGGAGTATAATGAGCCTGGTGAATTAGATGTGATTTGCAGTGTGCATCTGTGCCATTGCTTTTGCTTTGAAAATTGCAATATTTTTCCCTCAATAATATACACAGTGTGGCTGCAGTTTACTGCACCAGTGAACACAAGTGAGTGTTGCGGGTCATTTCTTTTCTATATATATAATTCTATCCTATATAATAATTACATTTTGGCAACTACTCAGAACTGACATTACAAAAATGGCTGATACTGCATAGCTATTAGGCCGGGCAAAATAGTGCTGTTGTAGGACAGCACGGTCATAATTACCTTTTTTCCTGTTGTTCTAACTGGTCCAAAGGCTTTCCTGAATATTTTTCATTACTGAAATTCAACTAAAATGAACAGCAAGGAAGAACCATCGTAGCTTACAAAAATATAGAGATATTCAGAGTTATTTGAGATCAATATTATTAGATAATAGTTATCCAGTCAATGATGCCTCATCCTTTCCCGACACTACACATTCTGCAACCTGTTAGCCGTCCTAACCTTTTTTTCCACTATGACGCTCTTCCACTGTGCCTTCTTAATATGAATTTGTTTGCTATCTCACTGCTGGTATGTCAATCTTTGCGACAAATAAATGGATGTGTTGAATTATTTCTCTCACTTCACTTTATATATTTTGTGCATATCTCCACATACTTCACTTTCTTTTTCCACCTTTGTAGTGGATTCTGTCCTTTTATAGGTTGTTGTTATATTTTGGTGCATTGCCCAGTTATACTTATTCTAAAACACCTGCTCTTACATTTTATACATTTCTATTGATTATGTTGTAACTTTGCTGTCTCAAAGCTTCATTTTTTTACAAACTCATTGAGCTGAACAAAATAAAAATCTTCTCTAACATTTTGTGATTTTAAATAAACTGATCTTGCTTTCTCTCATCTCTTTACATGTTCTAAAGTTTTCCTACCTCTTGTTCACCAATTTTCAATAAACTTCCCAATGCTACAGCAGTCTCATACCCACTCCCCACTCCCCACTCTCCATTCAAGAACTCTATCCAAACACTCTAAACACAATTATAAAGGTTACTAATTAATAGCCATTCCTGATGATTCTGAACGCATGTGAATATTGATTACCCTAAGAAATAACATCAACAAGTTCACTGAAGGCATATCATTTTTTAATAATTATATATTTATAATTATAATGTAATTACCATGAATAATTTTATGGTGTGCATATTCAAAATAATATATTTTTTAATACTTGTTCTCTCTTCATTGAATTAGATTATCAAAAACTATTTATATACTTTTGGTTGTGTGTATCATCACCCTTACATCCAAGGAACACTGGATTACAGATGCTCAGAATTCTGTTCTATTTAGTATTCTAGATACATGCCGCAATAGACCACAAAGTCTGTTACATAGCTGGTAATGTAACCATTTAAAGGCACTAGGTCATTTTGAGTCTGTGCCTACTGGCAAAATAAGATGCAAAAATAAATGTGTGTGTTTTTTGGTTGGTACTGACTGTCCTAAGCTTATTTTAATCTTGCGGTGACAGCTGGGTTCATGACTGCAAAGACATATTTTCTAGAACATAGAAACGGGTATTACAACCACCACAACGAAAGCTGATCATTAGTTTTAATGACTAGACTGTGTAATGGTACAAATATTGCAATTTAGTAATTTCTAGGTTTTGCTTATGGAAAAAGTTGGTAACATTATATGTTAAATATCAAGACTATTTTTAAATAATGCCTTTGTCTTCAAACAAAAATATGAAAATGTGTATTTCTTAACCATACAGGATATAGTTATATCATAATTAATTCCTTCATTTACAAATGTTCAAGATGGCTAGATTTGTTTGAAATGAACTATTGATTTTGTTCTTGTCAGTTATGATAGCTTCAGTATTGGCAGGGACAGATTGATTTTCTGCTCCAATGGATCCTTGTTCCTCAGTATGAGAACTCCATGCCTACTGTGATCATTCTTATGGTATTCTGGCAGCTTATAGAAGCAGACCAGCACCTGGCTGATGGAGAATTGATATTCTTTCCTGGCGGACAAGGTAAAACAGTGGAAAATGGTGTTCCATAAATTCTTCTCACCTCAGAAAGGGTTCTTTCAATACTATCCTCAGATAGCGCCGGCCCTGCATGGACAGGCTGGGGAGATCCTGTGATATAACATACAGTATCTCATACACCCCTACTTGGAATGAGTTACAAATATTTAATCTGTTTCACCACTAGTTTTCCAGAATAACATAGGCCTCAATATAATATTGTTTAATATTGTATCCAAATTATTTATTATTTTTGGATAAACTTTTAATATACAATATATATATAATTTATAGAACATATATCACTATATCAAACATATCAAAATATTACAAAATTGCAGTAATTTTCATAATATTAAATCATATAAAAGTATTTTTGCAAAAATATTACATTTGGAAAGCTTATCTAACAATATAAAATTAAGGGCAGAGGCCTCACTTTAATAAGCATCCCTAATGATTCATTACTGTTAGAAAAGTTTCCAAGTGATTTATCTACAGAAGTCACTATTAAAGTCTATGGACATTTTTGTAAATAAATCTTTTGGAAATTTTTACAACAGTATTGGAAAGTATATTAAATTGAGGCCATAGTTGTAAAGTATCCCCTACACTTTCTATATGCTTTCTAGCTCCTCGTTCAGCCCTATGTATCCACCTTCTAATTTTACAACTTTTTTATGTTATGGTCACTGGGTATTGCCACATGCACCATTACTAAAGTCTTCCATTCCTTGTCTACCACCACAATGTAGGATTGGTTGGTCAGTGCCTGCTTGTCTGTCTGGATCTGGAAGTCCCACAGGATCTTGCCCTTTCATTCCCAACTTTATTCTGTGGCACCTTCCATCTGGACAGGTCCAGCCAATATTTTGTGCAAGTGATTTGGTTCATATTACCAGCTACTTGGTTGTGCCTCTCAGTGTATGCTGCCCTTTGCACCTCATTACTATGCCCTCTAAGGGCCTAATTCCACAATATGTACCGCAGGTCTTGTATGGTGTGGTAGCTTCTACTGATTTGATGCTGAATGCCTGAGTGCCTGTTCATGTGCTGCTAAGTTAGTGCCTTAGTGCTTTCTTTTAGTTTTGCTTTTTAGAACCACGCATAGGATTTTGTAATGTGAGCAACATCCACTATTTGCCAATGATACATGTCATCATCCATGGAGAGCAGTTCATCTTTGGGAGCCATCTTCATGATGTACTTGTAGATGATTTGTAATATATATATATAGCAAGTTAAAATATAAAATATATATATATATATATATGCACACACACACACATTGTAGTAGCGTGCACTCCAAGAAGACTTTTGTAGTGCCAGGTGCTGGTTGTTGCAAAGGTAGATATGAGTGTAGAAACAATGGCACTCCTGGGACTTGGCTGAAGTAGTAAAGCTAGCTTTTATTTATTCCATATAAAATATCAACGTTTCAGCTCCAACATGAAGCTTTCATCAGGACAGGTAACATGTAACAAATGTTCAGACAAGAGACTATATAATCCAGATTCCTGCAAAACAAACTGAACAATCAAATTAAGTATGCACCACTGGAGTGTACTTACTGAATCAGTGTTCGGATGTAGCACAGCTGGCCAAGGCTTACTCCCACTCTGCCCTTGCATCTGCATAATTGGGGCTCAGAGGGGAGGGGGCAGGGGAGTGTTTGTGTTCCAAACAGTTGCCTAGCAACATCCAGTATGCATGGTTCAAGGTTACCATGATTACAAACAGAACTTCAACTCTCATCATCTTTAGCCAGCTGTGTTGCCCTGGTAGTTGATTCAGTAGTGTAAAAAATATTGTATAAAAAGAAAGTTACTAAGCATTGGATTACTAAAAACAACTACTCGTAGGACAAGATGGCGAGTCGCAAAGCTAACAAATTATTAGTATCATAGACCGATAATATCTACAAGTTTAAGGGAAGAGCTTGGTAGGAGTAGCGACAGAGTACTATCAACCTTATAATAATAGCTTGTATTGGCACTGTTTTTAAGTGGCGATAATGTTTTAGTGCTAAGACAACATACTCTCAAAAGAATAGCTATCACAGGGTAATAGCAATAGGAATGAGTTGGTGCAACACTTGACAAATAGTGACAGTACAATGAAGTAACCATTTGAAAATAGTAACTAAGTAACATGATTTAATTGTATATATTACGTTATTTAGTATATTGAGCTGGACACATAATGGCAGGGTATTGTCAATAGGGTAGCTAACACATGTAGCAACAAGTAATATACTGGAAGTGTTGTGTCACGTTAGCACACCAGAAAACAGTAGCAGATGCTAAGTATAGACATAGAGGAATTATCCTAAAAATACTGATAATGCACATTTTTCATTGAGACCCTTAGGGTGGACAGTATTCAAAATTTTAATCCAATAGACTTCCCGTTGAAGTTTCTTACGATCTCCTCCTCTGCAAAGGGGGAGGGGAGGATGTGGCCTATAGCCATAAACTTCAACGTTGGAAGAGGGTGTCCAAATGCCAAAAAGTGCTTGGCCACAGGGAGGTCAGCCTTATTGTCCCTATAGGCTATGTGGAAATAAGAATGATGGTTCCTTATGCATTCTTTCAAGGGGATATCTGGCTTTCCTATATAGGACAGTCCACAGGGACACAGCAGCTTGTAGATTACAAAATCTATAGTGTAAGTGAGTCAATGTTTGATAGGGTATCTCTTCCCTGATTGAGGGTGACTGAAGTATTTACCTGGTGACATGTGACTACAGGTGACACAGCCCAGACAGTGGTTCCAGCCCCAGTTAACAGATGTCTGTTCCTTGGTGTAACAGTGCACTGGATCCGTTTTGACCAGAAGATCCTTCAGGTTCTTCCCTCTTATATAATACATCATGGGGAGATTGTGGCAGACCTCTGGTAGGCTTGGGTCACATTCTAGGATGCGCCAGTTGGACCAGAGTGCATTTTGTAGACTGTTGGACGCTGTGTTATATGTGGTAGGAAAGACCAAGCGTGGATTATTTTTGGTATTCTGTCATGCTGGCTCTTGACTTTTAATCAGTGCTTGTTGTAAGGTTGATTCTTTAACCCCTTAAGGACCAAACTTCTGGAATAAATGGAAATCATGACATGTCACACATGTCATGTGTCCTTAAGGGGTTAAAGCCTCTATTTCTGAATTTGGTCCACATCTCCTTGATCTGTTTGTGGGTATTCACAGGATCAGAATTGTTGCGCACTACTCTCATAAATTGGGAGAGTGGTAGTGATTCCTTGAGTGGTTTCAGATAGAAACTGTCTGCTTTGAGGAAAATACAATGTCAATGGTCAACTTGACTACTTGTTTCAAAAGAATGTAACTTATTCTTAAAGGGTCAAACACTTACAAAACTGGAACATATCATTTGTAACGGAGCTCCCTGTACCCCTGGCTGGGTACCTCCACCAAGGACCGCTTCCTAGCTGGAACAGGGGACAAACCACTGCACTTCTGCCCACAGTCGCCGTGGCTTTGAGTGGGGCCCTGGAACCACTCCTTCCTGGAGCCGAATGGGGAATTAGCTCTAGTCCTTACAAGGACTTTTCTCCGTTGAATCCCCTGCAAGCTAGAAGAGCAGACACACAGATTTGTAGTGTAAGCTGGAACAGATTTTAATGGAGGCACACTGGCCTTTTATGCAAGTTTCCCCAACAAGGGTGACACCCAGGTGGACCCTGTTGGCCACAGGGACAAAAAGTGAACAAACCAATAAAAACAGAGTCATACAGTGAGACACTCCCATACACAAACAATATAATCCCTCCTCTGTGCTTGGGAGATAATTGAATCAGGAACTGTACTAATCTAACCTATTTATCTCCAAGCACCGAAAAAACATACGATTTTATGAAACCCCAAAAAGTACCTTAAAAATACACAAAACCCCAAAGTCACATCCCCTGATAGGCCCGATCTGGGTGAACAACATATCCAAAAATCACCCAGATCGGTTCAGGGGTCCAGGAATTTCATGGATGTCATAGTTTTGATCGACCGCAAGCATGGCCCCATGCCCAAAACAGTTTCAGGTTAAGTTCGGTAGTCTTTTGCAGGGCCCATAGTCTGTGGGTAGGAGGCTGACAAGCAGGCTCCTCCAGGAGCTCGTGGCAAACTCAGGTAAAAAGGGGAGTTTGCCACAACATTCTTTATACAAAAGTATTCTATTCTTTTGTTTATTTTCCATTATTTTCCTTTTAAAAAAAAGTATTTTTTGAAAAGCATTTTCAATTAATGATTATAAATAAGTTAATTCAAATTTAGTGATAAGTGATTTTGTGAGTTTTCTTTTTAGTCAAAATTTTTAGAAATGTCCGAATTGCTGAAGTGCCAAATTGCTAAATTTTGGAAATGCTGAACGGAACCGAATTGTCGAAGTGCCAAATTTCGAAAGGAATCCAACCCTAACCCTTACCCCAACCTTCCTCTAACCCTAACCCTACCCCTAAACCTACCCCTAACCCTAGCCCTAACCCTTACACCTAACCCTTACCCTAACCTTCCTCTACCCCTAACCCTATCCCTGCCCCTAACCCTACCCTTAACCCTACCCCTAACCCTTACCCCAACCTTCCACTAACCCTACCCATAACCTTAGCCATAACCCCAACCTTCCTCTAACCCTACACCAAACCCTACCCTTAACCCCAACCCTAACCCTTAACCAAACCTTCCTGTAACCCTACCCCTTCCCCTAACCCAAGCCTTACCCCAAACCATACCCCCAACCCTAACCCTTAACCCAATCATTCTCTAACCCTACCCCTAACCCTTACCCCAACCTTCCTCTAACCCTACCCCTAACCCTTACGACTACCTTCCTCTAACCCTACCCATATCCCTATCCCTGACCCTTACCCCAACCTTCCTCTAAGCCGAACCCCTAACTCTACCCCTACTCCTTACCCCAATCTTCCTCTAACCCTAAACCCACACCTACCTCTAAACCTACCCCTAACCCTAATCCTTACCCCAATCTTCCTCTAACCCTAACCCTACCTCTAACCCTAACCCTTGTAGGGTTAGGGGTAGGGTTAGAGGTAGGATTAGGGTTAGGGGTAGGGTTACGGGAAGATTTGGGTTAAGGTTAGGGGTAGGGTTAGGGAATTGCCAAAGTCCCAAATTCCCAAAGTGCTGAAGTGCCGAAGTCCGGAATTCCCAAATTTCGGAAGTGTCGAACTGAAGATGCCATATTGCCCAACTCCCGAAATACGGAAGTGTCAAACTGAATTGCCAAATTCTTGAATTGCCAAATTCACGAATTTCGGAAGTGCCAAACAGAACCAATTTTTTTGTGCATGCACATCCCTAGTAATTTTTATACGTCAATGTGCTGGGTAACAGAAGCTGTAAGAAACCCATAGGTTTCTTCAGTTTATGTTATTCTTATTATTGTACCGATTTTTACCCTTTAAAGCTGAACAATGACAATTTTAACCCCTACACTGCCATTAAAAAAAAAATATGAGCATGACATTTTATTTTAGTACAACTAATCACATTTTCTGTTAATTGTTGTTTATCTATCCTTTGTCCTATAACCTGACTCATTTTGATGAATATAGCTTAGTTGCTGCTTCTAAGTGTTGCTTCAAAGTGTGTGCTTTGAGAAATTCTGGAGAGTTTTACTGATTCTTCAACTGTCTAAGATTTTACTAAGATTTTGCTATTTACTGTTACAGGTAATATTCATCTATTGGAAAGGGTTACTGATTGCACAATGGTTGATTTCCTGTTGGTAATTAATAAGGCATTTGATTTGATTAGCTAGATGTTTGCTATTGATTGTTGGTTAATTAACTAGGCAAAAAAGCATAGGCCCACCCAGGTGTTAAACATTCCTAGTGGGTGGTGCTTTTAGGAGTTATATATGGGTTCTGGTCATTAGTTTGGCTAATATAGCTTGGTTGCTGCTTCAAAGTGTGTGCTTGGAGATATTCTGGATATAAACTGGAGGTAATCTGAGATATACAGGTGGACAAAAAAAAGTTAAGATTTGTTTGATTTAACTTACTCACCTCATGAAAATGGTAAACTTGGTTCAGTGTAATAGTTGTTATGCATTTGTTTCATATTCCACTTTGAGATTTGGATGCTGTCTGATTTGTAGACAGTTCTCTATATTGTGGCAGGAGATGGTATTTTTGAAGTCTGAGATTTGTAAATTATCCGGTAAACAAAAAATGTTGCAAAATCACTGCCACAGAGACGTACTAGGAATGGCAGATGGATTACTGTAGAATCTGGTAGACTTAGAGTTGTGGATAAAAGGCATATTGCACAGTCTGTTGCTCTACATAATTCATTTTCAGCACTTTCAGAGTGTAATGGTGTTGTGGAGACAGGCTCGGGCACCGAGTGTAGTGGTATTATAGAGACAGGCTTGGAGAGGCCTAATAGTAAGCAGTTGCTGTTGGGGGATTCTATCATAAGAGGTGAGGGGCTGGACAATAGTGGTCTTGTGAGATGTCTTCCTGGAGCTACTGCTCACAGAGACAGGAGACGATGCACATAGAAGGCTTATCACCAAACTGCAATCTTTAAGTTTGTATTCCAATACTGTTGAATGGGTAAGGCAGTGGATGAGTGATAGGGGTTGTAGTCAATGGAGTATATTCGAAGCATGGGCTTGTCACCAGTGGGGAACCTCAGGGATCTGTACTTGGACCCATTCTCTTTAATATTTGTATTAGTGATATTGCAGAAGGTGTTGTTGTTAAGGTATGTCTTTTTGCTGATGATACTAAGATATGTAACAGGGTTGATGTTCCAGAAGGAATAAGTCAAATGGCAAATGATTTAGGTAAACTAGAAATATGGTCAGAGTTGTGTCAACTGACATTTAATGTGGATATGTGCAAGATAATGCATCTTGGACGTTAAAATCCAAGGACACTGTACAGAATATTTGTTAGAGTCCTATCCTCAACATCTGAGGAAAGGGATTTAAGGGTAATTATTTCAGATGACTTAAAGGTGGGCAGACAATGTAATAGAGCAGCAGGAAATGCTAGCAGAATGCTTGGTTGTGTAAGGAGAGGTATTAGCAGTAGAAAAAGGGAAGTGCTCATGCCATTGTACAGAACACTGGTGAGACATCACTTGGAGTATTGTACGCAGTGCTGGAGACCGTATCTCCAGAAGGATATTGATACTTTAGAGAGAGTTCAGAGAAGGGCTATTAACCCCTTAAGGGCGGTGGGTGTTCTATGCCTTCCTTAAGGAACCGGCTCTAAACGCTGGAGGACGGCATAGAATACCCAAACTGTCCCACTCCATCCTCTTCGCCCCCCCTTGCGAGGACCTCACGATCACATGGATGACAGGTACTCCCCCTGCTGCCTGAAAATAAATGAATTAAAGTTTAAAACAGTTGAAAATAACATTATATATACTTAGATCATATATATATTTACTATATATATATATGATCTAAGTATATATATATATACACATATACACACATACTCATATATACACATACACTAAATATATATTAATATCAAAATACACATACAATGATATTGATTAAATATATATATATATATATATATATATAATTTTCATTATATATATATATATATATATATATTTATATATAATATAAAATAAAAAAATATGTAAATACGTCAAAAATTCAATTAAAAAATAATAAAAAATAAAAA